AACGTGTAAAATGTAATGAGGTTAATTTAGTGTCCCTGCTGGCTGTGGAGCAGTGCTGTTTCACAGATGTCTGTAATGAGCTGAGTGATCTATTATAATTACATTCTTTCAGTGAGAAACTACCATAAGCATGAATGAAATCTCTTGAGAAGTGGAAGGATACATCTTCAGTGTAATGAGGGCTCATTTTCACATGAAACTAAATTAAGCAGGCTTTCAGCATTTATGAGCAGTTTACTATACAGCAGCTACAGTTTATAGTACTTGTAAAATACTTCAACATTTTAAAATTTATATATATATATATATATATATATATATCTTTAAGTGCTTTAATGCACTAGTCAAAGTAATGAACTAGTCAAGTGTCAAAAGTTTCAAAATGTGTCGTTTAACTTTCTGCAAAAGAGTGGAAAAGGGGAAATCAGGATTAGGCACAAAATAATGTCTTCAGAATCATTTACATGTGAAACGTTTGGAAATTGGCTGCAATCTGAAAGAAAAAAAATAGTTCGAAACAAGCATTGGATTTCATCCAGCAAATATGATGTAGGTTGCAGTTACTAATGTTATTATCCAGTAATAACATGTAAAATAAACATACTGAAATATTCATTTTAGATCACGGTGGTAAAATCCACCTCGCTGTACGTAAAGGGACAGTTGATGAATGAAATGAAAATCCTGTCATAATTTTTTCATATTGTTCCAAACCTGTATGACTGACTTTATGCTGCGGAACAAGATATTTTGAATAATTTTAACTTAAAGGGGCAGGTCACCCAAAAATGAACATTCTGTCATCATTTACTCACCGTCATGTCCTTCCAAACTTGAATAACTGGCAATCTTCTGTGAAACACAGAAGACATTTCAACAAAGTTTTGTTTCCCATTGACTTTCATTGTGTTTTTGTCCCTACAATGGGAGTCATAAGAAACTAAAACTGTTTGTATTCTTTCAAATCTCTTTGTGTTCCACAGAAGAAAGTCAGTCACAGGTCTGAAATGAGGGTGAGTAAATGAACACCGAATGTTTATTTTAAAGGGGTCATATGACGTTGCTAAAAAGAACATTATTTGTTTTTATAAGAGAATGGCTCCCTCTGGTGGACCAACTGCTCTCTCTCTCTCTCTCTCTCTCTCTCTCTCTCTCTCTCTCTCTCTCTCAATTCAATTCAATTCAATTCCATTCCATTTTATGTCTTGCAATTCTGACTTTTTTAGCAATTTTCAATTCAAATGAGCTTTATTGGCATGACTGTGTAACATTTCACAATGTTGCCAAAGCAATAAATATACTACAGCTACAAACATACTGGTGAATAAAAAAATTATAATAATAAACACACATTTCCATCTTATCACAATGAAAAAAAAAGATAAAGTAAATTAATACAGAGAGCAATTGTAAATGGAAAGGAGGGATCAGCCTTTGTCCCTCATTTGATGGCAGGAGGATACATACTGCGCTGCCAGGTGAATACACTTTTCTTTCTCTCTCAAAATATACAAGAGTTTCTCTATGTTGCTCGCTCGCTGGAATTCAGGTGACACTAGCGCTATTTGGTTGAAATAGGCACTCTAATGTTTTTATATTTGCTGCACTGTGTGAGTAAGTGCAGCTCGTCCTCTATGGCTCCGTCAGTCTGACACAGTCTGAGCTAGTGTTGGGTAAGGTTTCGAGTCGAAACTCTATTATTTATAAGTGTCTTAACATTGTTTTAACCTTTAAATATAACAAAAGCAAACCTCTATTGCATCTTGCCATTTTTATTTTTGATTAATAATTAGTGTCCTGCTTTTCTTAGCAAACTTTAAAGTCATGTAACAGAAGTTATGGCTGAATTGATTTATGTATTGTGACATATTTCAGAGTGAAACAGGTTTTAGAATGTGAAAAATTAAAGGGCGGGACTTGACTTTATTCATCGGTAAAGTAGGCTAAATGTATAAATTCAAGGGTGGGGGTAAAGGAGTAGATATCTTGGTGAATGGGATCTTAAGAGCAGAAAATGCACCTTTTATCTCAATAAAAAACAAGCTTTATATAATTTTTACGATTTTTAATGAAATATGAATTTTGAATAATCAAAATTAGTTTGTCTCTGCTTAATCTATTCATCAGTGTTTGAACCATTAAAGAAGAAACTGCATTTTAATTTCTGGGTAAAAAAAAAACGAAAAATGAATGGACGCCAAAGTACAC